TTTTGGAAAAAAAAAAAAAAAAAAAAATTGACTAAAAAGAAGCTTCGCCAAACAGACTCCTGGTTGCTTCTAAATGGTAAGTATAGTAATATAGTACTCCGTATATATGTAATTTATATTTATACAATTATTGATAAAATATTTTAAATTTGGTAGATATAGGATTAAATAAGTTAATAGCATAAAACTTTTTACTCACTAAATTAAATAATATATTTATCTTCTCATCAATTCTATTTTTCTTTCTTTCTTTTTTCATATTTTTTATTATTTTACTTTCTAATTTAAAATCAAATTCTCTAAATTACCTATTCCTTTTTGTCACATTTGATAGATCTTCATCGTAAGGTTCAAAATACATCGATAATAGGCTCAATCCTTTTACCATTTTCATTTAATGCTATATTTTTTATAGAGAGTTCAATACCATATGACTTACGCCTAACCCACATATTATACATTGTTCTCTCACTACTTTTCTTGTCTCAATATTATATAGATATTATGAAAGAAATTCAGGGTCTTTTAATATATTTTAGTTTTAAGCAACCAATTTCGTTGAGTCGCCGTCATTAATGATCAACAATTATTTACAGACCACTGCCCATGAACGTGTTATTCAACAGCTTCACTCATATTTGGTAGCTAAATAACATATTCACTGATTGTTGTCTTAACTTAATTGAGACTCTATAAAATTTGATTGACACTAGTAAAGCTTTAATTTAGAACCCCAAAATTTTTTAATAATGGGTTTTATGATTTTATTTCAAGTTAGACAATATTAAAGTTTGCAAAAAAAAAAAATACAATAAACCTTGGACAAAAGAAAGAAAGACTATCTACTCTTTAACACTAAAAATATTTTAGAACTTTGAATTAAATTACTTAAATCTTTATATTAGTAAATATATTTTTTACAACAAAATTAAAGTTAACATATTGAAAATACATGCCTTACATCCAAATTAGTCAAGTTATCTCTTACTAATATAAATGATAATATTACTATGTGAAGTTAAAGGTTTCATCATTTAAGCATGTTATACTATAAATAACAAGTATGAAAAAATGGCAACACTATCTTTTTTTCGTATATGTGTGTGTATATGTAATAATAAAAAAGTATAAGGCGACAAATTTTATGGAGCAGCCATTGCACCAAGATAGTTAGTTGATTGGTTGTTTTTCGAAAACCAAACCAAACGTTACCTAATCCTAAGAAGTGATAACAACGAAAACGGAGAAATTTTCCGGCGAATTACCTCTTGTCGCCGGACGTAGGACCTTTGCGCTGGAGGTGGCTTTGCCTAGTTTGGAAACGGCGAGAGGTATTAGTACCGGGTCTACTAATTGGATCTATTCAGCCCGTCTCTCATATTTTTGGGCTGGCCCAGACTTTATATGGCCCCCATTTACTTTATATTTTTACATGCCTAATCCTTTATTTAATATTATTATTCTATATTTATTCCATAAATGACAATTTCTTTTATAATTCTAGGACATTTTAAAAATAAGTTGCCCCTCAAATTAAGGAGTTAGTTTTATTCTAATAGTATTGATGTCATTTCTCTCTCATCATTATAGTAAAAAAAAATTTAAATATTTTTACTTATTTTTATACAAGTAATATATATANTTATATATTTCAACATGAATATCCATACATTTTTTGTTTATATTTTGTATATTAATAATGTGATTAGCTGGAATTTGTTTTATATGGTATCCACTCGTTGATTTTTCGAAGAATATATGGTATTATTAATTATACATGGTTATTACTGTATAATCATCTAAGATTTATTTCTTATATCAAACATATAAATAATTTATAATGTATGCATGTTATATATATTTATATATATATATATATATATATATACCTTATATATTTTTACTAAATATGTGTATTTTATATTTTTCAGAATATTAGGATGTTTATGGCAAACATACATGATTTCTTCCATTATTATACATATTATTAATTATACATGATTTTTTTAATAAAAAACAATGAAAATATTATTAAAAAACATATTGAGTGAATGTATATTTCAATTCAAGAAGAGCAGCAATCACTTATAAAATTATAATAACATGAAAGTTTCGTAACAAGTAAAGGGTAGAATTTGTATATCATTATATGCCTATTTTAGTGGAATTGGGAATAGAGCTTTATTTTTGGATTAGTTCCTATGTTCGTGCTTTGCACGAGTATCTTTTGTCAAGCAATATCTTTTGTCAAACACTAAAAGACGCATTTAAGCAAAACATTTTTGTTCCTTTTGACTCTTCAATACATATATATATAAGCCATACACTTAGTGTTTGATTCCTCTTTTCTTTTGTTTTTCTTTTTCTTTTTAAAATAATCTTTGTGGATGCATTATTTTGATCATGTTTTAGCAATTCATATACTTATAAGCTATACTTTGTTATCTTATATTAGATAGCTGTGATTTTCTTTTTTTGAATAAATGATTAATAATATAAATCATAGTCCCTTTGGCGACATCCGATAAAATTAATATAAATCATAACTCATAGATTTCGCTCCAGTATTGACACCTTCTTGTACTTTCTATTGTTACAGAGAGAGACTCCTATGATAGGATTTCTCCGTTGAAATAGACTACTAATAGCAAGTATGAAAAATCTACTCAAACTTAAAAAATCACGGAATATTATAATGCTTTTACAATAAAAATAGGATATCAAACTGACTTCCCGAATAAGATAAGAAAAAAATAGTATTAAGGCCAAGATTTCGAAAAGGCTTGTTTACAACATTTACAATTATATGAAAATACAGAGCTAAAAAATTTTGAAGTCAAAGAAATATAAATCTTATAATCCAGGCGATACACTTTATCACATTCTTGTCGAGAACTTAAAATCAAACTCTAATTTTTCTCATACTTTCATCGACATATGAAAACGTTAATGGTGCTATATAAACCTCAAGAGCAAAAGCTTGATCATATTTAATTTGATATGGCAGTATTCTCATGCTGCAGATAGTATATTTTGCTATAGCTTAACAAAATTGTAAGTACCTTTTTTCTATAGGAAGGATGCATATTAGGAGAAAACTCATGTGATAAATAAAGTATGTAACCCCTTTATAATGATTGTTAATAGTATAATAGGTGATTCGAAGTATTCATGTTCAGGTAAAATTGGTATATTTTTATACAATATATCAAGTAATGGAAAAGCTAGAATTTCACTCGTACTAAAAAGTATGATTTTATTTAACTGGATATTAAAGTTTCAAATCAGATACATATACTGAATCATATTTGATTATAATACCATAAATAATATAATATTTTTAAAAAAATTAGCCATAATTACACTTTATTCGAATATGTATACTTACAAAGTGCAAAATAGACATTTCAGGTTTTAATTTTTATAATTTTATAAAAAAAGATAGAAAACTTCTTTAAATAATGTTTTTTCTTGAAGAAGTATCTTGAAGAATTTTAATATTTCTGTGCATGTAATGTAAAGGATAATTTTATAGAATTCAATGAGGCAACAAATTATCTTTCATATGGTGGTGAGAGATGTGATTGAACGTGTTCTTGTTCATATAGAATTGGTATAGTTTGCAACCTCGAAATAGGTGACATTAACGTGTTGAGAAGAATTTGATTAGAATTAGAAATCCATCCAAATTCGAATTGGGTAAAGTTTTAGATATTGCGATTTTATGCAACATGGAATTATTTTTTAAAGAAATATTTTAATTTTTTTAAGGGAATAAAAGTCTATCAATATTTTGGGGATATTTTTATCATCCAACATTTAGCATGGAACATTCGTGCTTTTATAATAATATAGATGAAAGTTCTCGTCTTTCCTTTTATTTTTGCTTACTTTTAGGGATTACTAACTAGCATCCCTATTTTAGTAGGATTGAGTGATTTTCGGCCAGGGAATGTATTTATTTAGTTGCCATGAATGTAAATGTCACGATCCAAACCTATGGGCCGCAACGGGCACCTGGTACCTTACTTATTCGAGTACCAACATAACGTATCTCTCCATGTCATACTTATCATAAATAATTGAGCCGGAAGGCTGCCATGAAATAAGTAGAATACAACAGGTAATGTCAACTTATACATAAGACATACAAGCCTATAAGACCAAAATAACCACTCGTATACTGAACACAGCCGACAAGGACATACAACTTTTTACGTACATGACATCTGTCTACAAGCCTCTAAGAATACATAATTTTTATCAAGGTCGGGATAGAGTCTCACTATACCAAACAATACGCGTCTAAATCATACTAACCAAGCAAGCAACTCCGAAGCAAATGGAGCGCACCAATATCTTCCGTTGAGCTGATAGCCTACTTGGAAGGCTCTCGGTGTGTCTATCAGAACCTGCGGGCATGAAACTCAGTGTCCCCAGGCAAAAGGGACGTCAGTACGAATAATGTACTGAGTATGTTAAGGCACATAAATAAGTACATAACAGACATGGAAGAAATAT